GTTTTCATGGATGCAGTTAACTTGTTTTAGAGATGAGGGTTAATTATTTTGAATTTTCTAAACCAATTTCCATTGCTTTGTTATTTGGATGCTTGAGTCTTATTGTTTTCCTCCTGATTTTCTGTTTGTAAACTGAGGCATGGGTTGAGCAATTGGTTTATTGAAGTACTAAACCTCATTTGAATGTGAATACTAAAAAGTGTTAGTGTTATACAATTGTAGTAGGAATTTTTGTGGTCTTGATATAGTCTGGAGCCATTTTAGTGATGGAAATTATTGTATGTAAGGTTGCATGCTAATGAATGTTTTGGTCGAATGTTGAGATTATATGGACTAAAAATTAGACAGGTCTTTGATATGATGCCATGGTTGAAATGTATAACTGTATATATGGTATGTCGAGCTTTTTGAACTGTATGGCCACTTGTTCTTGCTCTAAACTGTATGAAAAATGCCTCGCGTGTATAGGGCTGCAATTGATTTTTATGTTGGAACTACTTTGGGTTTAGGCACCATCTATTTGGGTTTGCATTGCTGCATCACGAGTACCTATTTTCATTATACTCCTATGCATTTTGAATTATGTTGGTGATGACATGAACGTTGCACCGATGAATTAATAAATTGGTTCTGAATGGTTTTGCTGGTTTGGCATTGGTAAAGTCTTGAGGACTTAAAGGAGAAGTTACAAGATGAAACCATAGGGTTTTGTGGAGTGAATCAAGGCTTGAAGTATTGAAGTCATGATGAAGCTTAGGACAAGAAACAATAGCCTGAATGTGTTTTTTTTTTGTGTAACTTACAAAACTATTGTAGTTTCTTTGGAACGTAATAAGTATTTGTAATGGTTGGAAGTATAAATGAACATATGGATTTTTGTAATGGAATTTGAATCTTTACTTGAAATGTGTAATAGTTTCTTCTTCATTCAAATCATACTTGAAAACTTTATTCGCCTCCATTTGCCTTCAGTTTCCAACATTTGAATGAATATCACCAAGATGAGATGGAAACCAAAAACAAACTCATTATGGGCTTTTGGTCAAAAAGTCAACCTCCCATGGTTGACTTTGACCAAAAGTCAAAGTTTTTAGAAAATGAATTCCAACTTAGAAATGGTTCCAAAAACTCAATATAAAATTCCAATCTCATTGAATGAACCACAAAGCATTGACTTTCCAAACAAGTAATAATCATGAACCAATCCTTATTTGACGAATGGTGGAGAAATAAACTCATATTCTTCTTTTCATTCCCAAGAACCAAATATTACACCATGTATCTCAAGTAATAGGATGAACAGCTGGACTAATGAGAGATAGTTCCTCAAATGAGGTCTTAATGCACATCTATTTATGACAAAACTCTTTCTCATTTTATTGGACCCCCCATAGTAGTGGATGTCTTGATTCAAAGACCATAAAGGAATAATTTGTATAAAAATTCAAACACATGATTAGAGACGTGTTTAGATGAAGTTTAAGCTTGGAGTGCATAGAAAATGACGCTAAAGACAACCATGAAGCCAAACCCTTAATTGATAGGATCTTCAGTTAAAACATCAAAAGCTTGGGCAGAAGAGGTTGGAAACCATAATTCTTTGATCTTGAAGCTCATTGATGAAGAAAACCTTACAACCCTAAATTCCCAGTTTCACACTTAAATGCACAAAGAAAAACTAGAAGAATCAACCTTATTTGATGTACACACTTCAAACAAACTTTGAAACCCTAATTCTTCAAGATCTCTGATACCATACCAAATTTATTGGTTAGTGGTGCATGTAATGTTAAATGATCTAATAGAAAGGTATGTACATGAGATGCTAAGCCTAAGCCAGAAAAAAGAAATTAGGAGGGAAAATTTTTGGGTGCAACAGCTGCCCCTATTTAATTGGCTTTAACTTGAGGGTGATATTAGCGCTAGCCTTTCGAACAATCAAGGTGAAAGGGGATTGAATATTTAGTAGAACCGTAAAATTTGTGCTCGAAGCCAGTCGGGTATTATTATATTTTTTTGGTTTTTCTGTATTTTTTATTTATTTTTGCGGCTAGTGGTTATCAAGGAGAGATGCATTCCAGGTCAACGTTAGACACACAAGACTGTGATACGGTGGGAAGAACTGACTGTTTTTTGGAATGCTGGTTCGCGTTTTGCGTTTGGTATTCGCAAAATGTCGCGGTAAGCAAGAGTCGCCACCGACTTTTATTTTATCCAACAAGGAAAGGAAAAAAGCACAGAAAAATTCCTTTTTCGAGATATTTCTGAGTACAGGGGGTAGATTATAGAAAGGGAAGGTATTAGCACCCTTTCTATCTGTAGTTATCTACGGGCTCTTAGGTACTTGCTCATCATTTTCAAAATGTTTTCTTTGTGCTTGTGGGTTTTGAAAAGTTTTTGTTTTAACTTCGATTTAACTCTTGCTTCTGTCTTCAAGAGTGTAATGAAGTGTTTTGAAAACTTGTTTGTAAAAGAGTGTAAGTGTGAGAAAAAGTTTGTTTTGGATGAGCAAGTATCTAAGAACTAATCTACCTACTCGAAAAAGGAATCGTTCTATGCTAATTTCCTTTGGACAATGCTATCCCACTATTAGTGAGTAGGTAGCACCGTCGTTGGAGTTTGAGGGTCAATTCGAAAGAGGGACATACGGTCACTAAAGCAACGTTAGGACGTCTTAGCGGTAACCCTAGTGTCTTAGATCATTTGTTCGAGGCAACAATATCTGAGGCAACCATTTATAGGCAACTATGATCTTTTAGACAAGAGGGCAACCTCTAAAACAACCTATACTCAATGACCGTGTATGAAGGAAACCAAGTGGGGTGTACCCTAAGAGTGCACATGTGCGATTGTGTTGATTTCAGTTATTTTTATCTTTGCACATGTTTAGGGTGATCTAATTGATTTTAGGTTAAACATTCATTCTTGTCTTGCAAACCCTATTACCAAACATCTAACAGTTGAATATTTGCAGAAATTAAAGGTGCTGAAATTAAACTAAATTATTACAAGGCGTCGGGTATTTACATCGCCAAAAGCAACCCTTTGAAATTTAAAAGCGGAAAAATAAATATCCTAATTAATTATTACAAACCAGGAGCAGATACATTAATTGGATAAAGAAAAATAAAGCGCGCGATGCGAAATTAAATCGAATGCGAAATTAGGGTTTTGACCCTTTTGATTAAAGAAAAATGTTTTTGTTGTTTTTATTTTTAAGAAAAGAAATCAAATCCTAAAATTAAATGCAAAATTAATTATTAAATAAATTAATTAATGAAAAATAATTAATGACATATTTTTGGAGTTTTTGTTAATTTAAGAAAATAAAAATAAATAAATAAATATTAAAACCTAATTAATCTAATTGATTTTTATATTTACAAAATAAATGAAAGTTATCTAAAAATTAATATCCTAATTAATTTAATTAATATTTATTAATAAAAAATAAAGTTCTGAAATTTAATTGGGTAAAAAATATTTTTGTGATTTTTTTTATAAAAATAAATTATTCTATTGGTTAGTAATTAAATTAAAACAAAATAAAATATTAAATGAAAATAAACAAAATAAAAAAGAAGAGTGAGAATGGGCCTGTTTTTGGAGGTGTAGAAAGCAGGAATATTGGCCCAATTGATGCTGGTCCAGATTGACTTTTTGGATCCTGTATGCAAGCGTTGACCTGGTCCTTTGGTGCACCTCCCATGATGGCCACCAGATCTGGCCATCTGGCCATCTGGCATATTGGCTAGTGAGGAAGTATGATGGTCTCTTGGCATGCGCGTACACTGGATCTCCTGAAAGAAATAAGAAAAATGGCAAATGCTGGAGGCAGGGATCGAACCCCTGACCTCCATCCTTGGGATCCTTATGCGCTGATGTGTTTACCACTAGGCCACTTGCATTTGATTGTTACCATAACACAAAACAATAATAATATAAGAAAACAAATGCGTTAGTGGGATTTTCGCGCGAAATTCAAATAACCCAATAAGGGGGTGATAACGCATCATCTCCTTCCTCTGCACTGTGGCTAAAAATCAAAGGGACTATACCCACGGACGCTGTCCGTTGCTACAAGTCAGGCTTATTCAAAAATCTCCTACAGGCCATGTAAATGAGTTCTAGGACCATGGTTAGATTCGTCATCTTCTTCTTATCACAACCATGCCCATCATTAAGGTCAATTGTACCTGAAACGAAAAACCCCAAAAACAAAACCGAAACCCTAACAATGGTTGATTTTGTTACAGGTCATATAAATGCAATTGGCTATTGGCAAAAGTTTGCAAACATCATAGTGATTAATAATATGCATCAATTCATATTAACAATGCCTAATTTTCAGAATACGAAATCAAGAACAGGGCGGCTTCGTGAATGACTTACAGCGCTTGGGAGGGTCTGAAAGCGTGTGGTTTTGCTTGCTTTAGGTTCCTGAGATTGCCAGGAAGAGATTGAGACACGTACCAAGCCTTAAGGATTCCACTAAGCCCTGTTTCGATCTCACACTTTTTGCCTCTTTTTGCAAATTCTGTTCTCCCTCTATGCTTGATATCCAACCCTTATTTTTGTCTGCACGCCACCCTTATGTATTGCACAATGTATTAGGTTTGCAAACTCAGTCCAAATCTCTCCCTTTCAATGCTTTGGATTTGATTTGATTCTTCTTTAACAACCTTCCAAATTTGGTCCAAATTCAATTTTCTTGTACACAATTTCCTTGATACGATTTTGATTGCCTTGCTAGCTGTATTTAGAGCCTGAAACAATCACAAAATCCTTGTTATTAATGCTTTTGGATTTTATTTGATTTAAATCAAATTAATTCAAATAAAAATCAAAATAATTAATAAAAATATGATATAGACACATGGCCAAGGCTAGAGCACGTGGGCAACAATTCTATCTCAAAACAAGTGAAAAAGAATGGACCCATTTGGTAAAATTTGAAGTTTTGGGCATAGTTGACTTTTGGCAATTTTGCAAAAAAAGTCCAACTTCAACAATGCATAACTTCCTCAATTTTGACTCTTCGGAGGTGTTCTTGGACTTTTTAGAAAGCTTGAGATGTACTCTAAGCAACCCTTTTGGTCTCATCTCATTTTGATATTACATGATCATGTATGAAGCTTTGACAAAAAAGGTGTTTTTGTTGACTTTTCAAAATGACCTATAATGTCCAAATTCATAACTTCTTGTGAGTGCATATTTTGATCTTGGGATATGAATATGGATTGTAGTAAATTCCATCCTATTCAAAATGAGCTTTGGATGGGTCATTTATCATAAAGTATGAGAAAGTTATGTTTGGTCAAAGTTGGGTTGACTTTTCCTACAAAACCCTAATTTAGTAACTTTTGAATCTTGATGAATTGTGAGCAATCCTTGATGAATCATGATCAACCCTTGATCAAATGATTAAATAAACTTCAAAATGAGAATGTTGAAAAAAAATATTGAAGTTTGACTGTATGTAGGTCACAGTTGACTTTTGCCCTAGCACAATCGATTTTTGGACCATTGAGCAACTTGGAGATTTTTCTTGCAATGTTTTGAGAACTATGAGAGGGAAAATTTTGGGGTACAACAAAGACAAAGATCAGATACTCAAGAAAAAGATCCACTACAGCTGACTCTAACGAAGATATATAACAAGAAAGAGAGCTAACAAAGCCGACTCAATCGAAGATGTCAGGGAAACATGGGGTCTCACAGTGATTTCACCTAAAGATAAGAGAGATGGATGAGACCTAACAAATCGAACTCAAATGAAACTATTAGAAATGGAAGAGATCTAACAAAGCGATCTCAACGAGATATCGAAGAGGGAGGAAATATAACAAAGCGACTTCGGACCAAGATAAGGAGGGAAGAAATT